ATATAATCTCACCTGCAGCTCGGGCTACATCAAGAAAGGCATCGTCTTCTTTGAAAAAATGGGCAGGGTACGACTAGTGTTTTGGTTCCCGCTCGCATCTAGATACTTCAGCATATGATGATTTCCGTCCGATTGCTGTGCAGCACAGCTCTGTAGCTCATATGCAGCTCGGGATATCTCAAGAACGTCATCATTTTGTCTCTAAAAATTAGCAGGGTACGAATAGTTGTTCGGACCAGCTCTGGTAGCAGACCGAGTTTCGGCATCTAGATACTCGAAACTAGCGCTTAGGATGATTGCCTCCCGAATGCTGTGTCAAACAGCTCTGTAGCTCGTCTGCAGCTCGAGTTGCATCAAGAAACCCATCATCATCCCAGAAGAGGAAGGAAGATATATACATATGTATATATAAATGTGTATATATATATAAGAGAAAAGATAAAGAGAATCCCCCCCCCCCACCTCCCCCACAAAAAAAAAAAAAACAGGATAGGTTTTCGGGCCCCGCTCTGATAGCGGACCGATTTCGGCCATCTAGATACTTGAGACTAGCGCTTTATGCTTCCCTGGCAATTGCTGTGCCAAACAGCTCGGCGGCTCATCTGCATCTTGAGTGACACCAAGAAAGTCATCAACATCTTTCTACTAAATTTTGGATTTGCTGATATTTTACAGAGTACGATTAGCTTTTTCAGACCCAGCTCTGGTAGCAGACCGAGTTCGGGCATCTAGATACTCGAGACTAGCGCTTCTGATGATTATCTTTCGATTGCTGTGTCGAAAAGCTCTGTAGCTCATCTGCAGCTCGAGTTAAGTGCGGAAAACCGACAGCACCTGCCAAGATGACGATGAACAGCCGATCCCGCCTGAGTGCTTTTCGAAAGTAATACGTACCCGATCGACCTGAGATTAAGATGGCGAGCGGGAATAACATCGAAGATTGGTAGAAAATCTTACAGCTCTAACGAATTTTCAAAATTCGAGAAATGGATTTCTCGCCGACCGAAATTATGCAAAGTTTCCGTCGAGCATTTGTTGCCAACTAGCCCCTCAGCGCGCCGGACTGAGAGCCGGCGGCAAACCGTCAACCTTAGTTTTTTTGGGGGGAGGGCAGTGTTCCAGGCACCTCAGCGCCCACCCCAGTCCCAGGAGGGGGAGTGCCAGAGAGCCCTTAGCAGCTCAATCTGCCTCAAAGCCTCCTCCGTCGCCTCAATGAAGCTTTCTAAGGCCGAGAGCTCAGCACCACTAATGGTATAAGAGGGCGGGAGCGCGGCAGCGCATTGACCGACGTCACGCCAGTCAATGGGAAAGGAGCTAAGTGTCTGTGTGCGGGAGGGGGAGGGAGAGACGAGGCGGGCACGCTTGCTCACGTGAACAAGCTCAGCATGAAAATCCGATGTGTAAGAGTGCCCAAGAGGGATAAGCCCTATCTGCAACCAGTCAACCTGGTCTGCGAGTCTGCGCTGGCCGATTCGAGCTCCCTGGAGAGCAGGCCAGGAGACAGAGAACCTAAACAGCGAAGCTGCAAATATTAAAGCAGAACAGTGCCGGAAACCTCGTAGAGCTGGTCACCGCCGGGAACCTCGTAGAGCTCATTGCACGCGTAACAGTGCTCAGGATCGAAGTAGGGAGCTTCTCGGAGTATTTCTGGAAAAACGTCAGATTGACATTTTTTCGCGTCAACATGAAGTCGGTTCCTGGAAGTGAACTAATACTAAAACTGGCTCTAGGGAGCTGCACTGCTCTGGGAACAAAATCTATATGCCAATGCTCGGCGTAAAAATCTGCTTTCTCAAAATAAATGGTCAAATATCTTTGAAATATTAGCAAAACCGACCAAAAATTATCACTTTCTCCTTTCTGGTCGGGTGGGCCAACTGGGCGCCGGCGGTAAACCGTCAACCTTTCCTACCGCCGGGAGACTCGTAGAGCTTCCTTTCCATATATTATGTCCAAAGAAGTAGCAGGGGGCGAATATTTTTACAGCCCGAGCGCTGATAGGAGACTGATCTCAGGCGTCTAGATACGATTGCCGCTTCGGTCTAATACGAATAGTTTTGCGACCTAGCTCGCAGACTTAGTTCAGAGCTCTAAATGCTTCAGCCGAGCGCGCCTGTGATTCTGAATCGATTATGTGTGCGTACAAGCTCTGTAGCTATGCTAAAGCTAAGTACAGAACACCGACAGCGCCTGTTTAGAGAGCTCGAAGAATACAAATGGTTTCGCGGACCTGGCTCGAGTAGCAGACCTAATCCAGACCTCTCGATGCAACAGACAAGCGCGCCTGATGATTCTGAATCGGTTTCTGTGAGTACCAGCTGTAAAACGGTTCCAAAGACCGAGTTAAGTACTGATAACCGACAGCACCTGTCAAGATGCCTCGAAGAATACGAATAGTTTCGCGGACCTAGCTCGAGTAGCAGACCGAGTTCAGACCTCTGGATGCAACAGACGAACGCGCATGATGATTCCGAATTGGTTACGTATGCGCATCAGCTCTGTAGCTCTCCTACAGCTCGAATTAAACACCAAAAATCGACAGTATCTGCCAACATAATTCGTAGAATACGAATAGTTTCGCGACCTAGCTCGAGTAGTAGACCGAGTTCAGACCCCTAGATGCTAGAGACAGACGCGCCTGATGATTATCAATCGGTTTCTGTGAACACCAGCTCTGTAGCCATCCTACAGCCCGAGCTAAGACAGAAAACCGACAGCACCTATCAAAATGACTCGAATAATCAATAGTTTCGCGGACATAGTTCGAGTAGCAGGCCAAGTTCAAGGCTCTAGATGCAACTGTCGAACGCGCCTGAAGATCCTGAACCGGTTTCTGTAAGCATCAGCTCTGTAGCTCTACAGCTCGAGTTAAATACGAAAAACCGTCAACGCGTGTCAAGATGACTCGAAACGGCCGATCCCGCCGCAACGCCTTTTGGCAGTAGAAGGTACCCGATCGAGCTAAGATCAAGATGGCGAGCGGGAATAAGATCGAATATGGTGGGAAAAAATACTAGAGCTCAAACGAATTGTTGGATTTCGAGAACAAATTTTCAACCGACCAAAAGTCACCAAAAGGTCCGTCGAGATTTTTCTTGCCAACTGGCTCTCCAGCGCCCCGGAATGGGAACCGGCGGCAAACCGTCAACCTGGTTACCGCCGGGAACCTCGTAGAGCTCTTTTCTTGCAGGGCGATCGTCGGAACACATGAAGAAAGCTTCTGGAGCGAGAAACGAAAAACTCGAAAAATCACGTTTTTCTGTTTCTATGCAACGTCAGTTCCTCCAAGTGTTTTGACAGTAATACTGCACCTACGGACCTGAGAATTTGACTGGCAGACGCGGCATAACCCACTACAGGTGCGAAAAATCTGGTTTCTCAAAATGAATGGTTAATATCTTTCAAATCTTAGCAAAGCCGACCCTAATGTGACACATTGTCTCTTTTGATCGGTTCGGCCAACTGGGAACCGACGGTAAACCGTCAACCTGGTCACCGCCGGGAACCTCGTAGAGCTCTTTGCTTCCACGGCGATCCTGGGAACACATGAAGAAAGCTTCTAGAGCTAGAAAGGAAAACTCGGAAAATCACGCTTTTTTCTGTTATTATCCAACGCGGGTTGCTCCAAGTGTTTTGATAGTAATTCTACACCTACGGACCTGAGAATTTCACTGGCAGACACGACATAACCCACTACAGGTGCGAAAAATCTGCTTTCTGAAAATGAATGGTCAAATATCTCTCAAACTGGGAACCGACGGTAAACCGTCAACCGAGCTACCGCCGGGAACCTCGTAGAGCTCGTTTCTTGCACAGCGCTCCTCAGAACACATGAAGGAAGCTTCCAAAGCGAGAGCCGAAGAACTCGAAAAATCACGATTTTTCGGTTTTCATCCAAAGTCGGTTCCGCCAAATGTTTTAATAGTAATACTGCACCTACGGACCTGAAAATTTGACTGGCAGACGCGGAATAACCCACTCCAGGCGAAAAAACAGGTTTCTCAAAATAAATGGTCAAATATCTTTTCAAATCTTAGCACAACCGACCCAAAGTCACCACTTTGTCCTTTCTGGCCGGGTCGACCAACTAGCTCCACCCCGCGCCGGAATTCCTCTTGCTCATCGATAACGAAGAGCTCTACGAGGTATCTTAGGAAAACCGACCAAAAGTTATCATTTTGTCCTTTCTGGTCGGGTGGGCCACTGGGCGCCGGCGGTAAACCGTCAACCTGGTTTTTGCGTCTTTCCTGGGACCGTCTTGGCCACTGAGGCCAGGTCCAACGAAGTCTCAGGCGAATCAGAGCCTCTTATTCGTCACGCAAGCAGTCAACTCTTATTTCACATCAGCGAAGCTGTTGGAATAAAGAGAATCAAAAGCCAGCAATGACACAATCAATCGCAAAGAACACAAATGATAAACGAAGAGCAAATAAACAGCGAAGCTGTTAGAATATACAAGAAGACAACATATGAGATGAAACAATGTGCGACTTATCACTGCGAATGATCAAAGAAGGTCTGTACAACCTGTGGGAGCACATCACATATGCGCTCCGCCGCTGATAACTCCGCATCTGTGACCGTGGCACTTGGTGGCAGACACCAAGCCGCAAGATACACATCCTTGAAAGTGATGTCGGTCCACGAGAAGATATACTTGTTACGCAGACCAATATGTATCCACACGCCACAGGCACTTCCGCGGCTACAAACACCCCCATCAAAGCCAGCTCTGATAAGGCAAGGAGTAAAACACTGAGATTCGAAATTACTGAGGTAAAAGAAATCGGCGTACATATGGCCCTGACGGGCCTGATGGGTCAGTAAGTCAGCCCTCTGGTTCCATTCCCGAAAAGAATGAGAGAAGAAGTCACGGCCAGCCTCTGGAGGCCTCACCGAGTAAGTATCCTGCATCTCGTCCAACTTATTTATCAGAGTGTCCACCCTTTTCTGATATACCTGAGCCAATACTTTCCATTTCCCACAGAGCCAGTTAATCACTAGCAATGAGTCCCCCTGGATGTCCAGTGGTATCCCATCCGTTTCGAGGTCCCACTGCGTGCAACGCATGTTATGCAGCGCGATACGTTTGCTAAGTCGATCCCTATATGCTGGTGTATCCTCCCGATCTTGACCAATATGAACCCTCCATCCTCATCCATATTCAAGAACACAGGCACCCCTGAGGACGCCAAGCCTTTGCATTTCTTCTGGAAATACTTCACCATACTACTAGAACAAACGCGTTCAGCGAAACCCATGAAATGTTCAAAGCTTCCAACAAAGAACTCCCACCAGGATAAACCATAAAACGATTCCAAAGAATAATACCAAGAACGAAGCCCTACACTCTCCTGTCCCCCACGATGTCGCTTCAGTGCGCTAGCCTCCTTCCATTTCCCCCAACATCTGAGAGCCTCGTTTGAATCTGTCCTCGTTCTATCCCACAACCGGCCAAACGCCAGGCATGAGAAACGAGAATCTCTCCAAGCTCTTGTCGAGTTCGCCTCCAGCGCCTCCTGATATGTGATCAACCTCTGGGCAAAATCGTGGACATCGATTGCCCACATCCAGTGCGCTCTGAGAAACTTCTGTACAGTACCCACATAATGTGCATCATGGAATTTCTGTCTCGCACGTTCATACCTCCTCGAATTCCACTCCTGAAAACTCGTTCACTCCTCGCACGTTCATACCTCCTCCACTCCTCGTTCAACCTGGTTACCGCCGGGGACCTCGTAGAGCTCTTTTCTTGCCCAGCTCCTCGGAACACGTGAAGCAAGCTTAAGGGAGAGCCAAAAAACTTCAAAAAATCGGTCGCACAAATAGTTTTGCGGACTTAGCTCGAGGAGCAGACTCTGTTCAGAGCTCCAGTTGCTTCAGCCGAGCGCCTCTGATAAGTCTGAGTCGGTTTCTGTGCGCACCAGCTCGCTAGCTCACCTACAGCTCGCGTTAAGTACAGAATACCGACAGCGCCTGTAAAGAGAACTAGAGAAATACGAATAGTGTCAGCAGACCGAGTTCAGGCCTCTAGATGCAACAGATGAACGCGCCTGATGATTCTGGATGGGTTTCTGTTAACATCAGCTCTGTAGCTCTTCTGAATCTTGAGTTGAGTACAGAAAACCGACATCACTGGTGAAAATGACTCAAATAATACAAAAGCTTTACGGACCTAGCTCAAGTAGCAGACCGAGTTCAGACCTCTAGATGCAACAGACGAACGCGCCTGATGATTCTAAATCGGTTTCTGTAAGTATCAGCTCTGTACCTGTCCGAAATCTCGAGTAAAATACAGAAAACCGTGAACGCGTGTCAAGATGACTGGGAGCCGGCGGTAAACCGTCAACCAGGTCACCGCCGGGAGCCTCGTAGAGCTCTTTTCTCGCACCTCGCTGCTCGGAGCAATGGGAGGAGCTCCCCAACGCATGAGCTCAAAAATTTGAAAAATTACGTTTTTCAGTTGTTACCAAAAGTTGGTTCCGCCAAATGTTTTAATAGTAATACTACAACTACAGACCTGAAAATTTTACTCGCAGATGCGGCATAACCCACTACAGGTGCGAAAATTACCAGTTCCCAAATCGAATTTCAAAATCTCTCACTGTCTTCGAAAAACCGACTCCAGGTTGACACATTGTCCGCCCGGGCCGGGGTCGGCCAACTAGCTGCACCCCGCGCCGGAATTCCTCTAGCTCATCGATGCCGGAGAGCTCTACGAGGTACTCGGAACACAGTCGGTTCCGCCAAGTGTCTTGATAGTAATACTGCACCTATGGACCTGAGGCAGACGCGGCATACCCCAGTACAGGTGCAAAAAATCTGGTTTCTCAAAATGAATTGTAAATATCCTTCAAATCTTAGCAACACCGACCTTAGGTAACCATATATTCTTTTCTGGCCGGGTCGACCAACTGGGCGCCGGCGGTAAACCGTCAACCTTTCTTACCGCCGGGGGACTCGTAGAGCTTCCTAACCATACATTAAATCCAAAGAATTAGCAGAGAACGAATAGTTTTTCAGCCCGAGCGCTGATAGCAGACTGATCTCAGGCGTCTAGTGATATCCCATTGCTGTGCTGAACAGTTCAACAGCTCATCTGCGGCGTGTAGAAAATACCAGTAGGGAGAAAATAGCAGAGTATGAATCCGTGTTTGGCGTCTGCGCTCACAACAGAGCGAAACCGAGCGTCTAGATGCTTCGCGCCTCATGATGTCCTTCTGACTTTTCGGCCGGAGAGCCCTCGAGCTGCTCTGCAGCTCGAGTAGAGTGAAGAAATCATTTGGAAAAAATTGTCGGTCGAATGGGAATCAATGTGTGAACCTAGCTCGGGTAGTAGACCGAGTTCAGACCTCTCGATGCAACAGACGAACGCTCCCAATGCTTCTGCATCAGTTTCTGTGCGCACAAGCTCTGTAGCTCTCCTACAGCCCGATTTCAATACAGAAAATGGACAACATCTGTCAAGATGACTCGAAGAATAGGAATAGTCTTGCGGACCTGGCCCGAGTAGCAGACCCAGTTCAGACTCTGGATGCAACAGACGAACGCGCATGATGATTCCGAATCAGTTTCTGTGCGTATGAGCTCTGTAGCTCTCCTACAGCCCGAGTTATGTGCAAAAACGGACAGCACCTCTCAAGATGACTCGAACGATACGAATAGTTTCGCGGACCTAGCTCGAGTAGCAGACCGAGTTCAGGCCTCTGGATGCAACAGACGAACGCGCCTGATTATGCTGCATCGGTTCTGTGCGTATCAGTTCCGTAGCTCTCCTAGAGCTCGAGTTAAGTACAGAAAACCGACAGTTCCTGTCGAGATGACCCGAGCGATACGAACAGTTTTGCGAACCTAGCTCGAGTAGCGGACCGATGTCAGACCTCTGCATGAGACAGGCGAACGCGCCTGAAGTCTCCGAATCAGTTTCTGTGATTACCAGCCCTGTAGCCCCCCTACAGCCCGAGTTAATTACAGAAAACCGACAGCACCTCTCAAGATGACTCGAATATTACGAATAGATTAGCGGACCTAGCTCGGGCAGCAGACCGAGTTCAGACCTCTGGACGCAACAGACGAACGCGCCTGATGATTCTGGATCGATTTCTGTAAGTATGAGCTCAGTAGCTGCCCTACAGCTCGACAAAACACCGACAACGCGTATCAAGATGACTCAAACAGCCGATCCCGCCCGTGTGCTTTTTGGCAGCAAAAGGTACCCGATCGAGCTGAGATCAAGACGGCGAGCGGGAATAAGATCGAATATCACGGGAAAAAATAGTAGAGCTCTAACGCATTGAGGAATTTCGAGAAAAAAAATTTCAACCGACTGGGATCCGGCAGTAAACCGTCAACCAGATAACCGCCAGGAGCCTCGTAGAGCTCTGTTCTCGCGCGGCGCTGCTCGGAGCACACGGAACATGCTTTCTCAAGCGTGAAGAGAAAAGCTCGACAAATACGTTTGTTTCATGTTGTATCTTCGTTTCGTGCACCTAGCTCGAAAGCCAGACCGAGTTCAGACTTCTCGATGCGAGAAAAGAACGCGCCGGGTGATGCTGAATCGATTTATATGCGTACCAGCTCTGTAGCTATTCTTAATCTTCAGTTCAGAGAAACCGACAGTACCTGTCAAGATCACTCCTACAATACGAATAGTTTCGCGGCTCAAGCTCGAGTAGCAGACCGAGTTCAGACCTCTCGATGAAACAGACGAACGCTCCTTCTGATTATGAATCGGTTTCTGTAAGTATCAGCTCTGTGGCTGGCCTAGATCTCGAGTTAAGTACAGAAAACCGTCAACGCGTGTCAAGATGACTCAAAACGGCCGACGGTTCCAGCAAGTGTTTTGATAGTAACTGGGAGCCGGCGGTAAACCGTCAACCAGGTTTTTTGCGGTTTGCGGTCCGACCACGGAGCCCTACAAGGGCGGTCGGGTTGGTGCAGCCATCCCCTGTGGGCTGGATGTACCCTGAAAAACGTGATACTCTTGAAGTATCTACTACGCCTCGCGTCGCCGCTACAAATGAAGCGAAGAGCAACGAGAGAGAGCATCAATGCAGTTGAAGTAAGACCTCATGCGATGAAAATAACAATTATCAAAGCAAGACCTCATGCAATGAATCATCAATTATAAATCAATGAGTGTATGTTCCAATAGTCAATGGACCTCCAACAATCAATGAATGCATACTCCAACAGTCAATGAATGTGTACTCCGACAATCAATGAATGCGTACTCCAACAGTCAACGAACGTATCCTCCGACAGTCAATGAAAGTGTACTGTGCACCGACAATCAATGAATATGTCATCTGTGCCGTTTCCGATGCTCCTTGCCGCTCCGCGTCAATGCACTCCTGGAAGTAGAACTCTGAGGACCCCCCTGTTGCGAATCATCCTCCTCGGAACTTCCAATTCCCATTTGCAGCCTGTATGCACTAAGAGCCTCAATCCTACGTTGAAACTCCTGTCTCGGGAGCCGGTGTAGCTCACGCCAAAGAGCACTTACATCGACACCGACAAGGGCCCAGTCCCTGGCAGCTTGACACTCAGAGCGTGTCTCACTCGGTCGATCTGCAGAACTCCCATTCATGGAACTCCCTACTGCATCAGCTGAACTCCAAACCGCGGTACTCCCAACTGCAGAACTCCCAGGTGTTGAACTCCCAACTGCACCAACAACTGCATCAGCGGAACTCCGAACTGTGGAACTTCCTACTGCACTCCGAACTGTTGAACTCCCGACTGCACTGGAACTCCCGACTGCATCAACTGAACTCCAAACAGCGGTACTCTCCACCGCACTCCCGTTGGTCGCATGCCATTCTGAAGTGCGCAACTTTGAACTCTCGATAGCCTCCGCTCGTTTGAAACAATATCTCTTCATTCTGGGAGAAGCATCACCCCGATCAACGCGCACTCGATGACACTCCTCCTTCTCCTCCTCACCAACAAAGAGAACACAACGATCAGTCTGAGTCCCACACGCAATGTGAACACAGGGATCTGTCTGAGTCCCACAATCGGAACACTGCGAACACAAAGAGTTGCCAGCCAATTCAACAGCATCCATATCAGTCTGTGTTCCACAAGTGTGCTCAACCCATTCCTCTTCCTCAGAATCGTCCGAGCAGAAATTCCGATAATATCTGGGCGCGCAAATACCCGCGCGAACAAGGCACGACGAATCTGGCCCCCGAGCCGTGGACCACAAACGATACCTGGTACGTTTCGCCCGCAGGCGGCGCATTTTCGATTGAGAAACTTTGTCACCATGCCCATACAGCTGGTCTCGCTCATGCAGGCGGGACTCACCTCCGTACACAGGGCGAACACGGCAATATAGATCACTAACACACACTTCGAGCGTAGACAAACGAGCAGCGAGAAACTCGGAAGTAAACAACGCCGTATCTGTCCGATCTGAAGCAACAGAATCCGTGCCTGACAATTCAGATGAAACAAACTCCATATATAAAACGTGGATTCGTTCAACAAGAAGAAGGCAAATCACAGGCAATAACAAGATGGACAGTTGAGTACGATACTTGTAGATCTCAATGAATGTAAACGGTACTCCGACGATCTGGGCCGTCAATGCGTGGTCCGACGACAAAGAATGTGTACAAGCCTTCGACACTCAATGAAAGCGCACGGTACTCCGACAATATGAACAGTCAATGTGCACTCCGACAATCAGTGAACGTGTACGGTACTCAGGCAAAACAGACACTGAAGCACCGTGTACAGTACGAGGAACCAAAGACTCCTTACTGCACAATGCAGCTCGAGACGAGGGGGACCCCAGCGGTGAGGCCTGGCCGAGCAGAAGGTAAACTCTGCTGCAACCAGGTTACCGCCGGGACCCTCGTAGAGCTCCGAATAGACCAAGTCGGAAAAATACCGGTTCTGGAAACGAATTTCAAATTTTCCAGAAAGATAGAAACCGATTCCAAGTCGTCACATTGGGCTCTAGGGGGGCTGCAGGGCTGGTAATCAGAGGAATCGATTTGGAGACTTCAGGCGCGTCTGCCTGTCGCATTCAGAGGTCTGAACTCGGTCTACTACTCAAGCTAGGTTCGCGAAACTATTCGTATTGTTCGAGTCATCTTGAGAGGTGCTGTCGATTATCGCGCGTAACTCGGGCTGTAGGAGAGCTACAGAGCTGATACGCACAGAAACTGATTCGATATCATTGTGGGGGCTCGTCTGTTGCATCCAGAGGTCTCAACTGGGTTTGCTACTCGGGCTGGATCCGCAAAAATATTCGTATTCCTCAAGTCACCTTGACAGGTGTTGTCCCTTTTCTGTATTGAACTCGGGCTGTAGGATAGCTACGGACTGGGACGCACAGCAAGCGATCCAGAAGCATCAGGGCGTTCGGCTGTTGCATCGAGAGGTCTGAAATCTCTCGGGCTGAAAAACTCTTCGTTCTCTGCAATTTTTTGACAGTATATATGGTCAGGAAGCTCTACGAGTCCCCCGGCGGCAAGAAAGGTTGACGGTTTACCGCCGGCGCCCAGTGATGACTTTTGGTCGGTTTTGCTGAAATTTGAAAGATGTTTGACCATTCATTTTGAGAAAGCAGCTAAGCTTTTCCGATGCATTTAACAGTTGACTTCCCGGAACCGAGCGAATGTGAACATCGAAAAAATCGAAAATCAAGATTTTCGAAAAATAATTATTCTTTGACTCTACTTCGATTCTGAGCACTCTGACTCGTCTAAGGAGCTCTACGAGGCTCCCGGCGGTGATCAGATTGACAGTTCATTGCCTGCGCCAGTTCGCGGCCTTAAGAGACAAAGTGGTAACTTTGGGTCGGTTTTGCTAATAACTCGTAGAGTTTCCCTTAGCTAGTTGCTGGAAGCTTAAGAGTAATTCTGGGGCGCTGGAGAGCTAGTTAGCAAGAAAAATCTCGACCGACTCTTTGGTGACTTTTGGTCGGTTAAAAAATTTGTTCTCGAAATTCAATCATCCGTTGCCGCTCGCCGTCTCTCTGGAGCCAGTTTCACTGTCAGAAAATTAGGAGCAACCGACACGAAGTTGACAACAAACAATGAAAATTTTACGTTTTTCTAGAAATGCTCCAATGAGCTGTCTGCTTTACATAAGCACTCTTACGCATGCAAAGAGCTGTGCGAGGTTCCCGGCGGTGACCAGGTTGACGGTTCACCGCCGGCCAGTGATGACTTCGGGTCGGTTTAGTTGCTGGAAGCTTAAGAGTAATTCCGGGGCGCTGGAGAGGTAGTTGGTAAGAAAATCTCGACGGACCTTTTGGTCACTTTTAGCACCTCGTAGAGCTCTTCGCCAAGATGAGCTAAGAGGAATTCGGGCGCAGGGTGGAGCTAGTTGGCCGACCCGATCTTAAGAGACGAGTTAAGTGCAGGAAACCGACAGCACCTCTCAAGATGACTCGAACAGTACGAATAGTTTCGCGGACCCAGCTCGGGCAGCAGACCGAGTTCAGAGCTCTCGATTCAACAGACAAACGCGCCTTATTATTCTGAATCGGTCTGTAAGTATCAACACTGTAGCTGTTCTATAGCTCGAGTCAAGTACATAAAATCGACAACGCATGTCGAGACGACTCGAAACGGCCGATCCCGCCTGCCTGCTTTTTGGCAGTAAAAGGTACCCGATCGAGCTGAGATCAAGACGGCGAGCGGGAATTTGACCGAATATCATGAGAAAAAATATTAGAGCTCAAACGAATTGAAGAATTTCGAAAACAAAATGTTCAAACGACCAAAAGTGAGCTCCGGCGAGATTTTTCTTGCCAACTAGCTCTCCAGCGCCCCGGAATTTGGTAGGGTCCAAAACCCCGAGAGCGGAGAGACCCTCCGGAACGGGAAATCTTTTCTGGAGAGCTCTTGGAGGCCTCTTGAAGCGCTTCGAAAGCGCTGCCAGGCACGCTTTCACGCGTGCCTGCACGCGTGCAGGCACGCGTGGACGCGTGCGCGAAGCGCCCCCGGACCCGCTGCGAGGTTTTACAGGCCGCTGCGAGGATCCTGGACCGGCGGAGATGGGCTGCTGGCAGGAACCACCACCCTCCGGCTTCCAATCTAAAACCCTCTAGCTCTCAGAGAGCTCTCCGGGAACTGGGAACCGGCGGTAAACCGTCAACCAAGTTTTTTGCGTCTTTGCTGGGACCGTCTTGGCCACTGAGGCCAGGTCCAACAAGTCTCAGGCGAATCAAAGCCTGTGGGAGCACAACACATAAACGCTCCGCCGCAGATAAGTCAGTATCTGTCACAGACAACCCTACAACAGTGAGAACACTGAAGAGGCGAAACTAATACTACTGACTGAGGGGGTGCCAGGCGGACCTGGCAACGTCATGATCATGCAAACCAACAGCATGGATGGATAAAGGTGGAGAAGGGGCAGAAACAGCGGGGGAGAGGAAGGGACAAACCGAACAGAAGCATGTGCATTCAGTTCAAATATGTCCATCAAGCTCTCCGCTGGTCATCAATTCAAATAACTCCATAAAGTTGTCATAAAGGTATTTCGCCTCTTTCACAAGAGCAGACGGCCGGGTCGCACTGTCCATAACCTGCTGAAGGTCCTGTAAGACGGCTCCGATTGAATCGTGATCCCTGAAGGTTTGGAACGCATCCCAAATCCAACAGCCCCGTTCGTCCTCATCGCAAGCTCGAAATTCAGGAAGGAAATCTGGCACATGCACCGTTGACACGACGTCGTCCGTAGCAGTCGTCCGTACAAATCTGTATTTTCTGATACGAAGATTTAGCGCCTTCTCCAGGTACACGCGAGTGCTCTCGTTACTATCGCTATAAGCCAGGGAAAATGCATGAACAAAATCCTCCTCAGCCACCTCCTCCTGCTCCATCTTAGCAACTGCTTCACTATGAACATTCTCCTCCTCCTCGTCCTTGCAGCCAGGGTTCGATGCCACAGCATCAGCTGAACTCCAGACCGCGGTACTCCCAACTGCAGAACTCCCAGCTGTTGAACTCCCAAATCTGGGCGCGCAAATGCCCGCGCGAACAAGGCACGACGGATCTGGCCCCCGAGCCGTGGACCACAAACGATACCTGGTACGTTTCGCCCGCAGGCGGCGCGACTTCGATTGAGAAACTTTGACACCATGCCCATACTGCTGGTCTCGCTCGTGCAGGCGAGACTTACCTCCGTACGAAGGGCGAACACGGGAATATAGATCACTAACACACACTTCGACCGTAGACAAACGAGCAGACAAACAAGCGAGAAACTCGGAAGTAAACAACGCCGTATCTGTCCAATCTGAAGCAACAAAATCCGCGCCTGACAAGTTTTGCGGCTTTGCGAGGCTCCTACTGGCCCTAGGGCCACGAGCAAGCATGAGGTCAGGTGTCATCAGGAAGCGAAAGCTCTTATTCGAACCTAAAGTCAAGACAACCCAGAGCAGCGAAGCTGCGATGAATCATCAATCACAAATATGAGCGAACGAGCAAACGCACACAGAAATGAATCAAAGTGCAGTCAACTAAACATGCAAGAGAAAAGAGAAGTCCCAGCGAAGCTGAGTAAATCATAGTATGAGGAAGAACAATGAAATAAGAAAAACTGCAACTATCAAGTCTGTGATAACCATAGAACTGCCTGTGGGAGCGCAGTCACGATGCACTCCAAAGCACTGAGTTCTGTATCAGTAACAGTTGTGGTCGGAGAAATAAGCCAAGCCCTCTCAAAAACTGACTTCCATATCAGCTGAGCGGGGTCCCGTCGATCCCAATACCGAGGTTTGAGGCCTATGTCTATCCAGCAACCGCACCCACATCCCTCAGACGACACGCCGCCATCGAAACCAGCCCGAATAGCAGCAGCAACGTAAAATTCTGTCTCATAATCATGTGTATACGGACTACATTCTGAACTAGAAATCTGGCCCTCTCGGGCCTGGTGTGTTAGAACGTCGGCACGAGTGTTCCACTCCCGAAAATCATGACGAATAAGATCCATACCCGGCGCTGGAGGTCGTATATTATAGCTGCAACAAAGCCCATCAAGCGTATTGATAATTTTTGATATTCTATCCGCATATGATCTATTATCTGCACGCCACCGTCCCGTAGCCCAGCTAACCACGAGAAGCGAGTCACCCACCACCTCCAGAGGGATTCCAGGGGCCTCCAGGTTCCAACGGGTTGCTTTCATATTATGAAGAGCGATGCGCTTTGCAAGTTTCTCAGCAGCCATCGGACTATCATCCGTGCTCACCTGGATTTCACCATGCTCGGAGGGCGCCAAATATGCGGGCGAACTCACAGGTCCGCACGTCGACACCTCCTGGAAACATTGAAGCATGCTATGAGTACAAAGGTGCGTGGCGTATTGCATAAATCCAAGCTGGGAGCCTGTGAAATGAATCCACCAATCATCTCCGAAAAACTCAGCTAATGTATATTGCCATGATCTCTGTCCAATACTCTCCGTACCTCGACAGCGACGTTTGTAAGAAGAGGC